ACCACACACCACACACCACACACCACACACGTCACCCAGCCAGCCAGCCAGAGACACAGAGACATGCATACATAAGACAGCCATCGATGGATGCGATGTGTGTCAAGGGTGGATGAGACAGCCAGTGGTTCAGTCAGTCGACGAGTGAGTCATTCAGTCACCTTGAGGACTCTTGGATGCTCGGCGATGGACTTGGGGAACTGGGCCTTGAAAGAGGGGATGTCGTAGTAAGCGTAGGTGTCCGGAAGACCGCAAGACAGATCGCGGATCTTGACCAGCGCGTCCTTGGCCCCCATCTGCAGTGAGTGAGTGCAGCCAGCAGTCATACACCCACACATAACTACATACATTCACTCACGCATCCCCTACCTAATTCCGTAAGCACTTAAGTATTATTCATTCACCTACATACCTTTTGCATGACGTCCGGGTGCGACATGGCGACAACGCCCTTGGCCGCCACGTCCCTGAGGAGGCCGAAGAGCTTCGAGTTGGTCACGCCCTCATAGGTGCCCGGATTGACGCGGCAGATGTACGCGTCGGCCTTCGAGAGGGCCGACTCGACCTCCTTGTACTCGGCGTCACTGTAGAAGATGGTCTGGCACGCCCAGTTCTGCTTGATGAGCTCGTTGGCGATCGGGATCGTGTCGCCGCGGTGGCCGTCCGCCTTCTTGTCGCTGCCGCCACGGCACTCGACGAAATAGCACTGGCCGTACGGATTCTCGGGCTGAGGCAGCAATACGTCGAGGTCGTCCGCCATTTTGTGTGATTACTCCTCTGCACGTCACACAATTGTTGAAGCAATCACCGTGCTCTTTTATTCTTCGCCTTGCCTGTTCTTGGGCAAACCAACTTCTTTTGCAGACCAAAGAAGTCGACGACTAAAGGAGAGGACAAGCAAAGAAAACAGAAACATTTGAGCGAGAAACTATTGTCGTTGTTCTTCAAAGTTTCATTCATATAGCCTTCACTGCTCAGATTCCTATCTTCTCACACCCGCTGCTTTCTAAGATTCTTTCACTGCGCTTTACTCCTTCCACACGTGCGCCAAGCAACAGTCCAACCGTCACTTCCTGCTGACCACGCCTGTCTGCAGCTGACGTGATGTCGCCGCAAATTCACCGTGCAGTGCGGTGCAATACACATCGTGTGGCTTACGTGGAGCGTTGAAGAAGGAAGAACGAGAGAGAGGCGGTTGGTCTTTTTCAAGCTCGCGTCTCGACGGTCGCAAGCAACCCTTTGCAACGAAATGGCGCTGTCCTCCCCTGTCAGTGCTTTTGATGAGACGACGTCGAAGCCCCGTCCTCACAGTGCACGCACTGCGCCTCCTGGAAGCGATGAGAGGAGCAGTGATGACGATGTTGGCGAAGCAGACTGGGCGCTCAGCGAAGGCAGGAAGAGGAGGCCAGTGCCCGCACGTCGACTTGCCTGTGAGGACTTTGAGGAGACGGCCCTCGAGTACCGCGTCACCTTTCCAGTCAAGGTGAAGGTCGCAAGCATACTCAACACTTTCAGGTGAGAAGGTGGGAAGACCCTGTCAGGCAGTGATGTGGCAGCGTCTGTGCCTGTTTCCATTCAGGACCGTGGCGGAGTCGCTCCACTATCAGGTGATGCGGACTTCACCTCACTCCTGCGTTGCCGTCAGGGCGCCTACGCATTCGAGACGAGGAGACCTCCTCGCCGCGGGAGCCTCCAAATGCCTGGTTTACTGCTTGAGGCCCATCGTAGCAGCCATCCAAGGTACACGGTCTCTGTCATTCTCCGTCTGCCCGCCGCCGAGGGAGATTGGGTGCTTCTCTGTTTTCCCTCTTTCAGGTGCTGCGTCACGGTTTTCCAGTACGGCGTCGACCAAGGGTGGCGGCTACTCCCACCCTGGCGCGCTCACACAAGACACAGCACTGGGGACGCCAAGCCCGTCCATCAGGGATACCGCAATGACAGCTGATGGCCGTGTGACGACATCGCTGCCGTTGAGTGACGACGCGATCGAACACGCGGCGGACATCAGCTCTTTGGCTTCAACGGCTTGCGATACGGTCACTCGGCCACGGGGCTCGCCAACCCAACTAGAGTGGGACCCGGACGCAGAGAGGGACGGCCATCCGTCTGATTCATTGTCGTCTGGAGCCTACTCGTCCAGCAGTCCACCACACCTGGTCGGTGGCGAGGCGCTCCAAGGGTGGGGGTGGGCGTGGCGATGGCTCGTGCAGCGAGAGGCGGTCGGTGATGCCGCGATGCAGTCAAGACGGCTGAGCAGGCAAGGGCGAGGGCTCCCCCATGCCCTTTCGCCGTACGTGTACGGCAAGCATGCGACCCCGGAGTCGTTCTCGCGATCCCCGCCGCGTCTACCGTATGAGTACGCGACGCTGCCATTCCATCCTGCAAATGCAGAGGGGCAGTGGGGGGCAGTGGTTCTCTGTGAGGTGACCAGTGGACGGCGGTTCAGGAACATGAGAGTCATCGCAATACGGGTGCGTAGTCAGGCGTTCACGTGCAATCGTCTCGGCGTCCTGTAGACTCTCTCTCTCTCTCTCTTTGTGTGTGTGTGCGCGCGCGCGTGCTTCAGGGTCGCAACGCTGATTTGCTGCCCCTGTTCGATCTGCTGGACATCACGTTCAGCTCCACGCTGCCAGCCCATGCTATCCATTTCATCCCGAGCCGATCGATGCCGACATCGCCGGTAATGGTCCCAACACACAGATGCACACGACAGGGTCGTCAGGGCCATCCATCCCTTGCTCTATTGTCGTCTGTTCAGGACAATGCAAGCATCGGTCAGCGGTCGGCTTCGTTGAGCCCCAAGGATCTGCCCGTCCGTTCCCGCACCCCCTCCCTTACCCCCAAATCACCCGGCTACTTGGCGGCTCCCTCATCGTCTCAGTTCGGCCAGGCCCATTCCGCCTTTCGGACGGCCCAGTCCCCCAATTACGGCACGAACGTTGCTGCGTGGCGTCAGGGGAGGTGTGAAGATTGCGGGTCTTCGCTGCCGTCATGGCCCGTCGGCAAGGTCCTGGTGGCCAGCTTCTATCAGAGGCTGCATCTCAGCGGCGACGACGACCACGAGGATGAGATGGGGGCAGCTGGCTTCGGCTTCACGGCCAAGACTCGGGCTGACAGCCATGCGGCATTCCACCACCGTGCGGCATCACACCATCGGGGGCGAGACCCAGGCAGTCCATCGCCGCCCCTTACCGCAAGGGAGCTCCCCCTGCCGTACGCAGCAACAGCCACAAACGGCTCAGCAGGCAGCGATGGGTCGCCCTCAGAGGAGGCCCTTCACCACATCAGCAGTACCATCAGCACTGTCTCACGACCCCTCAAACTGGACGTATGCGCACAGAGACCAGACGACCAAGCAATGCACACATTTGTCTGAGGTCATCAGCTAATGCGGAGTGGTGTGTGGCTTTGTAGGCCGCTGCGTACTATCACTTCTGCAAGGTGTTGGCGAACGACACGTATTTGCTAGGTAACTCATCTTTGTGCCGACTGAGGGCCAACGGATTCTGCAAGTCATTGGTCTGTCTGCCTGTGTATAAATCAATTATACATGTAGGCCAGTCGCTGCGATCGTTCATGCAAGAGATGGAGGAGGACCTGGCACGCCAAACCAGGGAGCTGGAGGCAGAAGAAGCGAAGCACCATGGAGGGGGGCCTGACATGGTCATCGGAGGCGGGGAGCACGCCTCACCGATGCGAAAGGTCCGCGGATACATCGCTGCGACTGTCCGGCACATCCGCAACAACTTTGCATCGATGGCTGCGTCGGGATCGGACGACCTTACAACCCACCTCACCACTGACCTCCTTCCGCGATGTCCGGTAAGGATCAGACGGCAGAGAGCAGGAGACGGGAAGTGCACTCGTGTGGACGATGCCTGTCCTGTCCGTCTCTCAGCTGGCTGTCGAGCGTTATCTGTTCTCCACCATTGGCGTGACTATCCGCACTTACTACCACGCGAAATACGCTGAGAAGGACAACCTGTAAGCACCAAACAAATGCACGTCACGTGCCAGCACTGCCGACCGACCGCACTGTTGTGTCTGCCTTGTCTGCTGACATGTGCCTGCGTGATCAGGTTCTGGGGCAAATGTCAACGGCTGGAGAACATCTCTGACGAGCGTCTGTGCCGAGCTCTCGAGATCCGCAAGAAGTTCTACATGTTCAAGCCGAAGCCCCAAGGTACATCGCCGGCGCCAGCGGCCCAGGTGCCGCCGTCATCTCCGCCTGCCCTTCCTCCCCCCGCTGTCCCTTCACCTCCCCCTCCCCTGCTCGTACAATCGCTCTCGGGGCAGCTCGAGCCTTCGGTGCTGGGCAAATCGCATGGTGGGTCGCCAACTGGGAGCAGCAAGAGCGAGCGGCTGGGTGGCGCCACCACTGGCCGGGGGCTCGACCTCCTCAACCTTGAAGACGCCATATCGCCGCGAAAAGGTCGGTAAACAGGGAGGGCGTGACAAACAGATGCAACATCACGTGCTGCATGCATTGTGTGGCTGTTGGTTGGCTCCTGATTGTCTGTCATTGCCAGGTGTGATGGAGCTCATCGGGTCGCCTGCTGCGAGGAGAGCAGCTACGCCTACCCGCAACCTGATCACACTGGACTCGATTGATGACCAACATGCCCCAACGTCCCCCCAACGCACAGCAGGAGGGGAGGCGGCTCCTCCCGCGGCAGCTGGCCCGCCCACGGTACCCTCCGACGACAAGTGGAGTGTCGTCGGCGGCTCTTCCCTCGGTGCGACATCGTCGTCAGCGAGTGGCCGTGCGGGAGAGGCTCCATTGATGTCCACGCAAGACACAAGAAGCTCCCCCTCGCCCACGAGCGACGACACATCGACGCAGCGTTCGGCGTCGAGCATTTACAGTCGAGCTATCCAGCACCTGTCGGGCCTGGAGGAGCCGGGGCTGGCGCCAACAGAGGCCCTGTACCTACTGCTCCTCACCTTTGTTGATATGAGAGCTGCCGTACTCGAGGTAGGTCATTATGGATGACGATGGATGGATGCTGGGGATGCGGGGACGGAGGGAGGGACACGACCAATGCACGCAAACGTGGAGAGGGAGCGGTATGTCGCTTGTGTGGTGTATGTCGCTCGCAGGGTTCTCGAGGTCGGTACGAGGTCGAGGCGATGGATGATGAGCTGCCGCTCTTTGTCTTCATTCTCGCGAGGGCCAGGCTCAGGTACCTACAGATCAGATCATTCCCACGAAGGTTCACGTACGAGCACCTGTCCCATTTGCTTCTCTGCTGCGTTTTCCTTCCGTTGCAGGCATCCACACGCCATTGGTCAGTGGCTGTCGGATTACCTCTCGGCAGACAGCCGCATGGACACGGAAGGCAAGTTCGTCACGAGCTTTCAGGTCGCCACGCAGTATGTTGCCTCGGACTTTGACGTTGAGGAATGAATGAGTGATGGATGGGTGACACCAGACAGACAGACGACGGATGCGCACAGTCACTGTGGGCGAGGGGATGCGGCGGCTGTTTTCTTTTTGAGTCGTTCTTGTGTAAAGTGTAGAGCCTTGTACGTACGTGACTTCATGACAACGATGGATGGATGCATGCCGAGCGAACGAGTGATGATGAGAGACACAAGTCAAACGCCTATATGGATGTATGTATTGTGTATGCACATGGAACCGTCAGACGTCACACACGACACTTACACGGTGGTCGCACAGACGCACACACACACACACACACACACGAATGTGGACTGACTGTACAAACACCACCCATCCATCTATGCATCAACAGGCAGGGCTGTGTGCCGGTGGCCGATCGAGGGAACCGCACCGACCGACCGACATGCCACAAAACCGCACAGCACGCAAAAACAGCAGCGGGTGTAAAAAGTGGCAAAGATGGGTGAAGGTAGAGAGGGAAGGATACTCCAGAATAGCCAGCCAGCCAGCCTCACCACCTGTCACTTGGTCATGTGTGGCTCCTCGATGCTGGACGCCCTCGACTGCCCGGATGCCGACACGCTCTCGGGTGTGAAGGAGGGCAGCTGGTCGGTGGTGCGCAGGATGATCCGCTTGTCAGTCGTCTCAGCTGGCTGCATCTCCACCACCAGCCCATCACTGCCGTCTTGTTTGCTTCCGCCAGGCTGGGTAAGGGAGCTGAAGAGATTCGAGAGAGTGGCGGACCCCTCAGCCCCAAACACCAACGACGGCGTGAAGACGAATTGGTAGGGCGACTCTTGGGGCCCGTTGCTGCTGTTGCCGTCTGCATCTACCACCGACGAGTCGCCTGCTCCAACCAGCAGCCACACAGAAAGAGAGAAACAGGGCCACATACAATGCCGGCTGGGTGTCCGGATGTGTATGTTGCATGTATGTGTATGTGTATGTGTACCTATTACGTTTTCGTTTCTGAAGTCGTCAGATGTTGCGCCCCGCAGATTGACGCGCCGCCACTGGTGCCTGCATGCACCACACACAAGCCCACATTCATACACACATGGACATCAGACAAGATGTGTTAAAGGACTACCTCGGGCTGCCGCCATGAGTCCACTGATGCCTGTGGTGAGATACGCCATCTGCCGCCTGCAAGGTCGCCAATCCAATCCACACACCACTTGCCGGACGGACGGCCATTTGTGGGCGTGGCGTCTTTCTTTCCTTTCTGTCCCTTGGCTGACCTGCCCCATCCCGTCCAATTCATGTCCGCCCTCCGGTGCAGATGTCGCCTCTCGCTCATGCCACTGCCGCTGCTGCTGCTGCTGCTGCCGCTGTGCGTCACCGGGCCTGCCAGGAGCAGGAGTGCGGGTGGACAGGGCAGCCGGTGCACTATCGCCCAGGGATGATCCATCAGCAGCCTGTGCCGGTTGCAGCCTCTGCTGCACATCCTCCATGTAGCTGGATATCCTGTTCTTGCCCCAGTGCAGCCAGTGCTCAATCCCGCCTCCCCAAGGCACCCCAGAGGCGTCATACGCCCCGGACGAGTCGCTGGGTAGGTCCACCGCACCAGGAGACCCAGCATCAACTGACACAACACACAACAGACGAAAGGCAGGCAGGCAGGCCTGTGATCCGACTCCTCACTCATTTGAATGAAACGCACTTGGCCTCTGCCTTACGTACGTGTGTGGTGGTCCCCTTTGGCCAGCCCCTTGTGGACAAAGACCTCGAGTGCTGGTGAGTTGGGCAATGAGACAGGGTCTGAGCTGGCGTCGCTGGGCGCATGGTGGGAGTCGTCCCGTGCCCGGGAGGGAGGGGGCATGGAGGGGGCGCGAGCGGCCGACGTGTGTGTGTTGTCGGCGATGCTGCGTGAGGGGGAGGGGCGCCTGCGGGAAGATGACGGGCCGGACGATCCTTCATCGTCACTGTCGCGGTTGGAATCTGTCCACATAGCAGACAGAACAGGGGGCTGGCTGGTGCACTGCACAACATGGGCATCAATCGTCTCGTGTTGGTGTTGGTGTGCGTGTGTCACCCTTTTCGTCTGCAATGAAAAGCAGCGCTGGATCCAACTCAGTCGCCTCTGAATGCATGGCACACACGGTGAGAACAACACACACGGTGACACAACCCTGCCTGCCGTACAGTGCATGCCGTGTGCTCACTCACCGGCTGAAGGCGTGAATTCGACTCGTATGCTTTGCCTGCTGCCGAGGTCGACGAGTGGCCTGCTGCCAGCCCTGGCCCTTGCCTTGATGTCCGTCTCGCTCGTCATGTGTGGCGGCAGGGGGGGCGGGGGCGCTATGGCTATCGATATAGATGGGGCGCTGGGCGAGGGGTGGAGGGACGCCGGGGGGCTGGTGGATGAGGGGGTGGCCGAGACGTTGGCCGTGGTAGTCGAGCCCTCACGCCGGCTGCTGATGGCCGACGCCAAGCTCTCCTCATCCTCCTCTTGGGCCTGACGCAGCAACTCAGCCTCGTCGAAATGCACCAAATGCTGCAATGCATTGCATGAGAACCAATGACCCAATCAGTCAGTACGAGGACAGACCCATGGATGCACCATGACGGCCTGCCTCCTGTCATCTACCTACCTCGTACAGGGTCTGTTGGATTTCGATCTTCTCGGCTTGTCGCACGAGCAGCCTGCCGATCATGACCTCATCGCAGTCGCCCCCCGCCCGCATCGACTTGAGGAACCGAACGATCTCCTCAAACCGCAATGTCACCAGCGCATTCCGCAACACCTGCAGCCAACCAGTCAGTCAGTCAGTCGACCAGGTTGTGTAGTGTGGTTGACTGACCTTGAGAAGTGCGAGTGATATGTTGAGTATGGCGGGCAGCCCCTCGCATATGATGTAGTCCCACAGCACCAGCACAGTGCACATCGGCAAGCAATTGATGAACAAGGTCAGAAACCTGCACCGCACCCCCAGAGCGACATCCGTCAGTCAGTCACGATGTGTGTATACCCCGATTGGGTGCGTAAGACGATGGATGGGTACCATTGGTGTAGGTAGACGGCTGGCAGGAGGCCTTCATTGAGGAAGTGCTGGTGGATGTCGGGGATGTGCAGCTCAGCCAGACTCTCAAATGCTGCACACACGCACATCAACACATACACAGCGGTAAATGGGTGAGGAGTGTGGTCGGCCGTGTGTGCACACATACCCTTGAGGTATCGTCTGAGTAGTGGGAATTTCTCTCGGAAGAAGAAGTTGAGGTCGTAGAAGTCCATCAGACACACAAACACCCAAAACGCCTCCTCCTCACGAAAATCACTCACTATCAACAAAAAACCTGTAGGTTTACCATGCATGAGCAAAACAACGTGGATACGTCAAGCAACCGTGGTCACAAAGGTGCAGTGTGTGTGTGTGTGTGTGGCAAGTAAGTACCTGCGATGAAGTTCATGCCCTGGCAGTAGCCCACTTCAGGCATATGATTCGCATACGCATTCTGACCGTACACACACCATGTGACACATGGAGGAGGGAGCGAGACTGAGGGACCCGTTTGGCCAGCCAGCAGTCAGTTCTTTTCCCACTCACTCACTCACTCACCAGTATTCTGAATAGTGTTCGCTGCGACCGTGCATCGAACTCTTTCAACTCGGGGAAGGTCCTGCAGGACGACCGGCAGCCACACAAATGCATACACACATGGATATCGAGTGTTACCCTCCCTGCCCCATTCCCTGGCTGACTGACCGACCTTGGTGTGTCGATGGTGATGAGTGAGGTGTATTTGTTGGTCTCGTTGTGGAGGGTGGCGTACACGTCCTTCTGGTACTTGGCCGTGTAGTCCGTCGCAGCCTTCCACACCTCCCAACGAAACGCCTGTGGCACACCTCTGAATGCAGTCATACCGACCGACGTACGCACACGCACACAGAGAGCAAAGCATGTGGCGGGTGGTGCGTGTGGCTGCTCCGTCCGTCCACCCACCCATCCCGTGACTGACTGACTGACTGACTGACCGTTTGAATCGTCGGATGAAAGTTGAGTGGTGTTTGGACATGAAGAAGCTGATGTCCCGGTCCATCATCGACTGCCACTTGGCATACGTACGAGATGTCGGGTCGTCATTCTGACGCTGACGACGGACGGACAAACGGACGGATGGATCACACCACAGACACAGACACAACACACCACAGACGGACAGACAGACAGACACACATACACCAACACAAGCGATGATGATGCGACGCTTGGTGCCTTGCCCACCTTGCCCGTCTGTTTGTCTGTCTGTCTGCGTCTACCTTCCCTCGCTCCCTCTCTGATCCCTCCCCTGTGACTCTCTCCCTCACCAGTGCCTCCATGGTGCGTATCCGAGGCGCCGCCGAGCTGTGCGCTCCGTGCTGCCAAGCCACCAACACAAAGCCAGCCAGTGGGTGGGTGGGTAAGCTGTGGACACACATGGCTGCGATGGCACGCCCACCTTGTGGTCGCTTCTCCCTTGCGGCAGCCTCATCATGGCTGGTAGCGCGCGTCCTCCTCCTGTCTGTATCACCCACTCCTCGGAATGAGTGAGATGGCAATCGACCACACCGCTATCGGATGGCAGGTCCTCGCACCCATCGAAACTCCAGTTTGCGAGCTACTACCCTGGGGGCGTGCATGCAGCCCCCATCGTGAGACTGCGTCTTATGATCAACGCAGGTCTTCCCTCGTCGCGGAACGGCCGGTTCATCGTCGTGGATCGCGCAATGCTCCTGCACTGTCAGTGGTGATCGTTGGTTCTTTTGTCGGTCGCTGGGGTCATGCATACTACCAAGGCCGTGGACAGCAAGCCTCCCGGCGGACCCATCGACGTGTCGCAGCTGGAGTACCAGACGGCAGACAAGCCTCCCCCGACGCCATTCGACAAGACCGACGCCACTGTCCAGTTCTCCAACGCTCCCGACTCTTCAACGCTCCAGCTGCCCAAGACCCCACTGCAGCTGACCGATGCCACCCCTGCAGCGGGCAAGGCCACGCCAGGCAACCTCGAGCCACGCACAAGCAGCCCTGCCAGAGTGAGAGGCTACCGAGATGAGGCCGCGGCGCCGGGGGGGCTGTTCGTTGACCTCTCGACCAAGCCGGGCAAGAAGCGCGTGGACCCCTTCGCCGCTGCTGTGGTAGCTGCCAAGAGGGGCGAGGGGCTGCAGACTGGCGACATGACCACCACTAGCACCGCATTTGTCGGGGATGGCTCGCCCGGGGCACGCAAGACACTCTCGCCCAGGGAACTTCAGGCCAGCAAGGGCATACCTTTCTCATCTAACAACCGAGAAATCATACACGTGAGTCAACCCACCAAAGCACAACATGGCACGGCACAGCACAGCACACACAGGCGGGGCTGGAGGTATGGCGGGTGTGCCGATGGATGCTTGGGTGGGTGCAGGTGCAAGTCGGCCGTGCGGGTAAGCGTCAGTCCTGCGGATTTGGGATGGTGTCTCTGTCTGTCTGT